TTCTTATTTTCCGAGCGACATTCTTTCGTCCATCCCCTCCATTCAGTGTCTTGTTGGTGGCTGTGTGTCGCGGCGTCACTGCTGTTGACCTTCTACTCGAGGGCCCGCTCCCAACAACCTCCGTCTCCAGCCAAGTGGGATTTCAAAGCCTCTCCTGGATGTCCCTGAACCCTTTTGTGTCCCCGCTCTCATCTATAGGTAAGCACAGCGATGGGGCCCCCCCCTTCCCCACCAGCAACCTCCTCAAAACTCGGCACAATAGCCAGATTTCCTCCCAATTTGCTGGCAAAGAATAAGAGGCTCACAGAGTCTTTTCAATCGTTTTGAATGGCGGGCCTAAATTCAGACTCAATCTTTGGGTATGTCAAGCCTCAGCTAAGAGGCTCCTAACTTTGAGTCGGATGATCCCGGTGCTCAACGGTGTCTCTTGTTAGAGACGTTTTTTTTTTTTTTCCTAAAACTCATTTTGTGTTTTGTGTTTCCGTCCCCAAGCAAACTACATTTTTGACAAAATAATTGATCAAAAATGCATGCTTGTACATGGAGATAAGAGCTGTGCTTGTAATGTGGCCTTTTACATGTAATCAAATTTGATATCAACAATGAGTCCGTGCAAGCATAAAACTGCTTATATGATTTCCCTTTTCCTTTATTACACAAAAAAAATGGTGATGAATTGACTCAATTTTATTCTGTCAAGCGGTTGCATGAAATAAAACCATCTGCATCAAGATTTAGACTATAAATTAACTTTTAAAAAAAGGATCTACATCCAGATGATTCCGGTGTATGTAGCAGCCACTTGAAAAAATAAAACGTCGTCAATTCAACATACCATTTTTTTTTAGTGTGGATGTTAAGTTAATGAGCCATCCAAAGTTACTTTCTTCAGAATAACTCACTTGTATTCTTTGACATTTGACTCAGCATGACTTAGATTTGTTCTTGGTTTTGCTGTTCGGTGCTTTCTTCCGTCTTTATTACCGATTTGCTTTACTGTTGTTGTATATGTTAAATTGCTCCATGTACAGCACTTTGTATGCAGCGATGGCTGTTTGAAAGTACTCTAAAATACAGTTGAGTTGAGTTGAGAATTCTGATTGACTACATTGGTCTTCCGATGACAATATTTACCATCCCATTGACATGCACGTGACTTGACAGCCTGCGTTTTGCCACAGTATATCAAATTTGGTCCAGTTCATATTTTTACACATATCGAGACTATATTGGTCAGTGCCTACGTGTATCCGTCATTTTTTTTTTTTTTGTCAAATTATTGACCGATGTAAAGAGTTGAAAATGGCTTTCTTTCTTTGACGATGCAAAGTGATGATTTTGGAAATATAAGGCTTCCGCCCGACACTAGCGATATATATTTAAATGTGGAATGTTTATTTGGAAGCCCACTGTGGGGAAATGTATCATTCTTTTTAATCGTAGCCTATGAAGAGAGGAGCGTGAAACCGCCACACGCATTGAGCATCGAGCTGAATAGCATTTCGAGAGACGACAGCACAATCATATCAGCTGGTATTTCACTGCTGCAAAAACTATGAGGAGTCAGCCGGCTCCCATCTGAAGTTGTGCAAAAGGGAAATCGCCAACAAATGACACTCAGTGCACCCCACTGGCATTTACTTGCAGAATACGACGGATAAAGTTGACTTCGACACACCTTTCAGTTCGGGAGGATCAGCAAAGTTTCTCAATCACAACCTCATTCATTGCGCCAAACTCAAAATGAGAACCTCTGTGTTATTCTTTTTTTTTTTGTTTTTAGGTTTTCACTTCGCTCCGCTGACCATTTGTCGTACTTAACCTCTCTGCACTCCACTCTGTTCCAATTATGCAAGCACACACACACCTCCCTGATGCATATTTGTACTTTTGCTTGAGGTCAGTTCTAATCAACCACCCTTTGCTTGCGCTCACACACAAGCGCGCGGCCCTCTCGACTGCAAGTTTCTTGAAAGACTCCTCCCTACCTCGTAGGTCCAAGGACTGCCATTAAAGCAATCAGGAGCTTTCATCGCTAGGTCAAGAGCAAGGTGCTCGCAGGGGGATTCTGATTTGAATAATGCAAACGGGAAATAAGATGAAAGCTGGAGGAAACGACAAAACGAGAGTGAAACGGGAGGGGGGTCGACACAAATCTTGACGCTTGCAAACAACAAAGCATGGAATGATGAAGAAGAAAGCCACCGACTTCTGAACTGAACACAAAAGAGAGAAGTGTTAAATCATTTGAAATCTTGGGAAATTGAAAATGCAGTTAAAAAAAAAAAACTCCACAAAGAGGAATTCAATGACAGAACCACACGCAGCGTTGTGGCATCCAGTGTGTGTGTGGTGTGTATGTATGCATGTGTATGTGAGAGCTCAGATTTCCTCGCGTCCCATTCCGTGTCATAGCGGCTTAGGAAACAAACACAACAAATTGGCTTGAAATGAAAAAATAAAATATAAAAAAATGTGTGCCAAATTGATATGGTGAGTGTCAAATTTAAAGACTCAATTGTCTTGGAGTCAAGTATAAAAATTGGAACCACTGGAATATTTATCATGACATTTGGACAAATGGAGACTTCACTGTCCTTCATGACATGCGCAGGACTGGAAACAATCACCAGACCGTTTTTGGATATTTTCCATCTACTGTCGAATCACACCCGATGCCTTAATAATGGCACCTTGACTTAAGAGTTGAATTTGTTACGGGACGACTGAAATGAACTGAAAAGCAAATAATCTGTTCCGGCGACACAGTGATTGGCTGGTTAGCACGTCCGCCTCACAGTGCAGAGGTCAGGGGTTCGATTCCGGTTTTCTTATTCCTGTGTGGAGTTCGCATGTTCTTCCCGTACCTGCGTGGCTTTTCTCTGGGTATTCTGGGTATTTCCCTAGGGATGAATGGTTGGTTTTCTTTTTGTGTGCCCTGCGACTGGCTGGCAACCGGTTTAGAGTGTACAGCCCGAAGACAGCTGGCATAGGCTCTGGCACGCCTGCAATGCAGTGTTCAAGTGGGCCTACAAGTGACATCAGGATCTTGGACTCCAGCTCCGGCTGCTCATTTCGTGGTTAGTCCAGAGTGAACACCTTCTCCAATAAATTCAATAAATGGCTGCAAGTTCAGAATAATAAGATATCCGTCCATCTATTATGTGAACATTATCTGATGGAGGGCGTGCTGGATCCTATCCCAGCCGTCTTCGGGCAGTAGGCGGGCGACACCCTGAACTGGTTGCCAGCCAGAGACGAACAACCATTCACGCTCACACTCGCACCTCGGGACAATTTAGAGTGTTCCATTAATGTATGATGCATGTTTTTTTTTTTTTGAGTGCGACAGGAAGCCGGAGTACCTGGAGAAAACCCACGCAGGCACGGGGAGAACATGCAAACTCCATACAGGAAGGCCGGAGCCGGGATCGAAACCTGCACCTCTGCACTGTGAGGCAGACGTGCTAACCAGTCAACCACTGTGCCACCCATAATAAGATATAATAATAATAAATATAATAAATTACAATATATCATAAAAAATACATAATAATAAGATGATATAGACAGAAACACAAAGAATGATATCGATCCAGGTGATGCGTTGTAATGAGACAAACTTGGAAATGTGTTGGGATTCATAAGTCAGCGTACCGCGGTACCTCACCGTAAAATCACGTGACATAAGCAAAACAATAAAAACAACACTCGGCGCTTCATCATCAAATGACTGTGTGTGTGTGTGTGTGTGTGTGTGTGGGCGGGGGGGGGGGGTCTTGTCAGAAAATCTACCTTCTTGTGCCCTATGTACGTCCTCTGGCCGACACCGCGGTGAAGATAATCACGATGCTGTCGCTCCCAGGTTAAAGACTCACCGCTGAGTCTTCGGGCACTAATGCAGTGGCAGAACTATAGGGGTCACATTAGCCCCGGCTCCTTCAGCATGCATTACGGTGGAAAAAAACGCTGCCCCCCCCCACCCCCCATTAAAAAAGCCAGCGGCACGGCCGCGAAGCGGGCCTACCTGTGACGGCTTAAATTAGACATTTAATGATGGCCGTGCTGCAGGGAAGGAGTGCTCAGACAAAGAAATACTGATTGGATAGTAATTTGGTGTGAGGGTCACAAATAATGAGCCAAGTGTATCATATCACTTGTGTCACTTTTGTCACTTCAGGAATAGCAGGGATCCGAGCGCTGAGTGGATACCATTAGAGGTCGCATGCTTTACATTCTTGTTGTCACATTAACACATGCTGCAGCCTGCTGTCCATGTGATTCTAGACTTTGGACATTTTTTTTTATCACATCGTCTGCGGCCGGGTCTTTTCAAATTGTACCCATCCAGTTTTGTAAAGGACTTAAAAAAAACAAAAAACAAAAAAAAAAAACACGTAACTTTTTTACAATCATGGTACGTACACTCACTATTGATCTCACCGATGCCGCAAAGAATGTATGAGTTCATAGGGCAACAAATGCTTCAAAAATACTTCAGCTATTATGCTGTCCCGACAGTTGTAAATATATTTTTAGTCCACCAGGGTGAATCGACCGCAGTAAATAGTCGTGCGGTTGATTTGTTAAAATGACCCGGGATGAGGTCAATGAATACACCCGCTTCCCAAGGACAGTTTGTGATTACACTCGAACAAATGAATTTCGGGAAAGTTTGTCAAATCATGCGCATAACCGCACTCGCGCTAATACAGCGCGTGCATCGTTCCTGGCTGCTTTGTCGCATAGAAACCAAATGCGTTGATGGTTGCTATGATGACATAATTTCCTGTTAAGTTCTGAACTCAGCAGTATGTGAAGGATCGCTTGAATTCAAGTCCAGTGTTCCTTCGCGACTTTGCCGTTAGCTGAATGCTCCTCCTTCATGTTTCAGTTGCTATGCCGTTGCTGAGGCTCCTTTATGCTTTGGTTCTTTGTTGTGTCATACAGGCTTGATGTCTCACGGTCTAAACTTGGATTACTCAGTGACAAGTTGTCAGTACGTCACGCTTTCTCCCACTCAGAGCGTCGGCTCTCTTCCGTGTCTTCTGCCTCCAGCCCCCGCTCTCTGTAGTTACTTTGTATTTTCGTAGATCAAGACTTTTACTTTTCAATGTCGGTGCCAGCACTGCTTCTAGGTCCTAATTTCGATCCTCACGTGACAGTGCCTTCCCCTTTCTCATTAATTTCCGAAGGCAGCCTACGGTCTCAACCAATTCGCAGCTCGTGTTTGAACTGTTTCCATCTGGACTGTCTGGCGCACTGGCGCATCGTATCCCCCATTTGGCACGTACTGGCACTCAGTTTTTGGTGCGCTCGGAATAATCGAATGGCACATTTCAACAACGCTCTTGAGTTTCCAAACAGCCAGAATGAAGCAGTGCGCACTCAGAGCATATTTCCGAACAAAATCCTCATTCCCTCGTCATGGGCGCATTCGGAAAATACACTACGGGTACGCTGCTTCACTCATACGGAAATTCAGACCGTTGTTCAAACGTGCCAGGCGGTTATTCCGAGTGTCCCAAACAATGTAGCCCAGTACAGGAGGCAGTGCAAGTAAAGGAAACAGCTGCAGTCAGAAATGTACGTAAGTGTTGCGCACGCTGCACCCCGACAGCGGGCGAGGACAACGAAACGGAACTAATATAATGATAATGACGTTTTTTTTCTTAAATCGGTTCACCTTAACGGTGGCCCGGTGTTCGAGTGGTTAGCGTGTCGACCTCACAGTGCAGAGGTACCGGGTTCGATCCCAGCTCCGGCCTTCCTGTGTGGAGTTTGCATGTTGTCCCCGTGCCTGCGCGGGTTTTCTCCGGGGATTCCGGTTTCCTCCCACATTCCAAAAATCATGCATGGCAGGCTGATTGGACGTTCTAAATTGTCCCCAGGTGTGAGAGTGCGCACGTATGGTTGTTCATCTGTGTGTGCCCTGCGATTGGCTGTCAACCGGTTCAGGGTGTCCCCAAAGACAGCTGGGATAGGCTCCAGCATACCCTTGTGAGGATAAAGCGGTTCAGAAAATGGATTGTTTTAATCCATTGAATTTAAGCCTTTCAGGGACAGTGGTTACTACAGTGGACAGCGTATCGTGTTATCAGGTTAATAGTGAAAACGACAATTTGGTATGAAGTGTACAGTATTAGCAGTGTCTGATCCATCATTCAATTGGCTTTTGTGCATGCGCTTGCTTAATTAGCCCACCTGGGTATTCTTTCAAAATTACAAGATCATCTATCAATGACCCTGATCATCTATCTCTCTATTGAGGTGCCATTTTATCTCGCAGGGATAAAATGAAAGGCCGACAGAATAGTGGAGCTCCAATGTCATATCCCCCTGAGTCCAGCGGCAAGGTCAAGTACACAGCAAATAGTTCAGCGCCTCCTCAGAGTCTGAGGCCAGATGGTTGGTAAGCACCATGATTAATGAGAGATCCAGGCTGATATTCGGGCTAATTGACTGTGTTAGCCACCTCTTTGGATGTGGAGTCATATTCGGTGCACTTCTGGTGTTGACAGCACAAGTTTACTGGAATATGGCGGCGCCTTTTCTGCATCCGTATTTGCTTTCACACTTGTAACGTCACGCAAACACGACAGTATGTGAACTCATTTTGGTGTCTTACGTGCAATCTTTCTTCAAAATAAATACATCATATATGGTCCAGGAAAAGTTGGTGACAGAAACTGAAGCAGGATGTTGAATCATCCATCCATCCATTTTCCCGATCCACATTATTCTCACAAGGGTCGCAGGGGCGCTTGGAGCCTATCCCAGCCGTCTTCGGGCAGTAGGCGGGGGACACTCTGAACCAGTTGCCAGAAAATCGCAGGGAACATACAGACGAACAACCATCCGCGCTCACACTCACACCAAGGGACAATCTTGAGTGTTCAATCAGCCTGCCATCCATGTTTTTGGAATGTGGGAGGAAACCGGAGTACCCAGAGAAAACCCACGCAGGCATGGGAAGAACATGCAAACTCCACACAGGAAGGCCGGAGACGGAATCGAACCCGCTATCTCTGCACTGTGAGATGGATGTTAACCATTGGAACACTGGGCCGCCCAGGATGTTGAATCACAATGTGGACATTTTGAGAGTGTTGCAGTGAAAAAAAAAAAAAAAGTAAAATAGCAGAAAAGCACAAACCTCCACCAATGACAGCAATCTCCATCTTCATAAAAATGTACAAACAAGTGCAACTTAATGGCCCTCTGTCGGTGCCTAAAAGTGGTAATCATGGTCTACGCATTGACAACCGACTTTCGAAAAATGCTCAACGATGGCTTTTGTGAAAAAAAAAAAAGGTATCTGGAGAAAAACTAGGGATGGGGAAACATTTAGGATAGGCGACTCAGAATTGTCTAAGGTGATGGCCTGAATTGAGAAATTGTCATGATACACATTTCTTTACATGTGGGAGTTCATACGAAACAGCATCTGACTTTATGACCAAAAAAAAATGTGTCATTAATATGTTCATCCATTTTCGACTGCTAATCCTGCTCAGGGTCACGGCGGGTGAGCTGGAGCCAATCCCGACTGACTTTGAGTGCGAGCAGACGTACTTTCGATTGCTCGACAGTCAACGACAAGGCATCAAAAATAGGTTTCCTCCAATCATTTCATTTTTAATTGTTTCATCTTCGCTTGCATCTCAAGCCATCAACCAGTGTGGTCGTTGTACCATTCTGGACTTAAAAAAAAAAGAAAAAAAAAGAGAGGTGACATCCTATCGCATCTTGATTTCAGTGAATGGGGAGTTCCGCTTCTTCACCGTCTCTCATCAGCTGCATCGGACTCTCCAACTAAAATGAATGTGATCTCCCTTTGATTGGAAACCGTTCCTGGGAAAAGAGTGTGTCACCCTGCAACTATCGAATTAAATGGTACTGAAAACCTACTTCAGCTCAGGTTTAAAAAAAAAAAAAAAAAAAAGTTTCAAACTTCTCAAGAAGAGAGAGCTGAAAGTAACCGGAAGAGAAACGTGCGAGTCGTCCCGCAGCGCAGATGAGAAAGAGTAAGTGAGCCATGCAGAGGAAGTCAAAGAGCGAGAGGTGATGGTAAGATGACACTCTGCTACCTTTACCGACCCGCCCGCCGGGCCACTCTGTTACACGGACAAGATGGGAGGTATTAAGTGGCCGACTGTCCTGCCAGCTTGAGTTGCTGATCTGCTCTGCTCGCCTTAGTGGAAAGACAAACCCCCATCTTCACTTCGGTGGAGGAGTTTTGTTGTGATTTCGGTCTTCTCTTTCTCACCGGCAAACCTGAGAGGGCCGGTTTATCTGCGGATAGAGTGAAGGGAAGGGGAAATAGGGCGCCTTGCCATTTGAACACTAGAACTTTAAGCCAGCAACGCTTCGCCGATTCTCTCCCCGCGTCTTCCTCGACTGTAATGTAATGCTGACATCCACGGCAATATCCCCCCCCCCCTTTTTTTTTTTTCTCGCGGAGGAATACACAAATGACACAAACAGATCCTTATAATTGACGTCAAGCTGTTGTCGTCCTTCCACAATATTGGAAAATGGAAGCAGAAGCCAGCGGTTCCAGCGAGAGAGAAAAAGAGGGAACAATTTGCTCATTCTCAACCACGACACGGCGACTTGGGATGAAGGGAGGGGGGGGGGAAAGAAAGACACCCAATATCCAAAATCCCTCTCTCAGGGCCATCATGTGAAGAATTCCCCACCCCACCACCCCTCTTCTCCTCCGCTCGTACCCTCCCTCCCTCCTTTCCTCCTCTCTTCTTTTCTTTTTTAATCAAGCCGTCTGGGGTTGTCAGGTCTTTTGAGACGAGGACTCCCAGCCATGTGAAAAGTTAATCCCTTGTGGGCCTTCTTCTCCGTTGCGCTCATCTCCCTGGGAACACTGTGGTGGCTTGCAGGCAGGTGGCGGTGGGCTGATGGGGGCGGGCGGATGATGTGGGGGGCTGTATGAAGCGAGGGAGGGCGGGATGAACGCAAGGCCACCCTGATCAAGGGAGCGAGTGCTGCAGATCGTCCAGAATTCCTCATCCTTAACTTTGAAGCCCCCGTTTCAACTTGGGGGGTGGGGGGGGGGCGTCCTTCTCCCTATCGCCCATCGTCCGCCATCCTGCCACCCTCCCAACATCTCCGTACCCGAGCCTTCACGACGAGGCCTTTGGACGAGCTCCCCTGCCCGGCCGCCATAAAGAGTGGAGTGGATTTGCGGCATGGAGAGCTCATCGAGTGGCTCCAAAGGAAAACGGTTGTTGACGTTGGAGAGGGCTCTCCTGTTCCCCAGCCGCTCCTTTCCGAGTCGGTTCAATCTGCATGTCAGTGCGTCAAACTCCAGAAGCATTGACAAGACTCCGATAGAGGGCAAACTTGGGCTGATGTCGGGCCAGGAGTCCCCCAAATGAGCGACTCGATACTGCGAGTCCACAAGACGAAGAGACAAGCTCTCTTTTGTCACAGATCTTCGTGTCATTCTTATGACTTCCTCTCACAAAAGCGCTCCCTGGTAGTCCCAAGAAGACAGAGAGCCACACACTTGAATGCTTTGCTTGCGCTGCATCCCCCCCCCCCCCACTCCCCTTCCTTTGGCCTCCCACTTCGAGAAAAGTGCCATTGGAAATATAGACAGGCTCAGTCAGCCATCTTAATCCTTCTTCCCTGTCCATCTCATTCTGACCCCCCACACACTGTCTGTCTGTCAGTCTCTCACATACGCACACACACACTCATCTTCATCCTGCCTCCCACCTGATGTGGCCGAGCCCCCCTCTCTCTCTCTCTCTCTCTCTCTCTCTCTCTCGCTCTCTCCTCTTGAGAAAAAGAACTCGAAGGATGCCGAGTCTGTGTCGGAGGTGCGTGCAGAGAAAGATTCGGGGGAAATTGTAAAGGTCAGCACGGACTTTGTTCAGTCTGTGGGTTTATCTCGGCGACAGCGGGGCAGGACAATGGGGCCTCTCGCCGCGCAACAGAAACCCAAGCTGCGGCAGATAAATTACTTGGCTGATAAGACCGAATTAGAAGCACCAGGACTCCGGAGGCCAGGAAAAGAGGAGGAAAGCAGGGAGGGCCGGCATACTATTGAGGACGGCACGTGAAAGATCAATAAATCATAACCGAGAAGATCAGAATTGCGAGAGCGAGCTTGCGGAAGCAAATGCCATGCATCTTCCTGCGGCTAAAAACATGGCAGCTCACGACACAACAAAGAAAAACAGCACAAAACATAGCGTGAAGCGGTGTCTTTCAAAATGAAGACTTGAAGAGCTTTTTTAAAGAAAGGCGTCCGTCAAAGTCAAAACCTCTTGTTCATTAAATATGAACACAAGGAATGCAGCCTCAATATTATGACACTTTAGTTGAAGAAACATGC